GTAAGTTTTGAAGAAGGATTTTTGATAGAAAAAAGGTATATCAGAGGTTTGTGGTCAGATTTTAAAAGAAATTTTGTACCTTATAAATAAGGTCTAAAATAATTAATAGCCCAATGGATGGCAGCCAATTCTTTCTCAATGATTGACTTATGAGTTTCTCCTTTAGTAAAAGATCTTAAGGCCTACGCCATAGGCAAGTCGTAACCATTAAAATTTTGAGATAGAATTGCACCGCAAGCTCCCATTGAAGCATCCGTTGTAACTGTAAATTGTTTGGAATAATTTGAGGCGAAATTAAGGCAATTTTTAAGTTTTCAAAAGATTTTTGACATTCTGAAGACCAAACAAAAGTTTTACATTTTTTTGGTAAAAATTGTGTATAAATCTACGGTAGTAATTACAGAATGCAATAAATCGTTTGACTGTTTCAGCATTGTCTGGAACTGAGTAGTTTCTTATGGAGGCATATTTTGATTCGTCAGGTAAAGTTCCTTTATCCGCAATTTTGTGACCTAAATATGTAACTTCCTTTCTGAAAAATCTACATTTATCAGGATTTAATTTTAAGTTATACTTGCGATGGTGTTCGATAATTTTTAATATAGACAGGTGTGTTCTCGTTTAACTTTAATTTTTGCGTATAAAAATTATTGTGTTATCTGTTTTAAGTGCAATAATATCTGCAAACTCTACACATAATTTATTCTACCCAAAATTCCATCACCTGGGATTGGGAAATCTTCGCTTACAATGTGAGAGGTATGTGGCACCGCCGAAATGTTAAAATAAATTTGGCCAACTTAATCATTTACATGTATATTTATTGATTTTTTATTTAAAACGATCTAGTTGGGTCTTATTATTTAAACTCACGGGCACACTCAATGTTTTATAAAACCATGGAATTGACTCACCGAATTGGAAAACTGCGGAGACTGTGCATTCTCTGGGTACGCTCGATATGGCTAGATCTCTAACGCCTGGGATCCGGCGTCTGGAAGCTGAGACTCCTCGACATCTGCTTCTTTAGGCCTCTTTTGTAGTTTTTTCTAAACTTAAGAGCAACAGGATCATATACAGCACTACTTTAATGTCGCTCGGCAGCTTGATGGACTCCTCCTCTACTATAATATTTGAATTGACTACCCCAGTATTGGTTACCTCAACGTGTTTTGAGCTTGATTTTTCCATTTTTTTTATTTGAATATTGTTTAGCTCACTTACACTTTTAACATTGTCCAATTTACAACTTAATTCATAACTATTTTTAATACCACTACAATTACCATGAGAATCCAACTTATTCTCGTTAATTTACCATTTTTTCCTGTCAAAAATGTGATGCGCCTTTATTTTGGGGACTTATTACACGTTCGGTGCTTTTTAATAATGTTTTTGCGACACTTACACAACTAAAAGGTTGATGTCTAAGCCACGTGTCGTCCTAATTTAAGCACAATACACGGGGCACTACATAACCATACAAGCTCAGAACAATTACTCCCACCCTGCAGAGAGTTTTCTTGAACTGGACTACAATTAACCTAACCAAAATGGCTCTGATGTTTTTATTCGACGAGATTTGTACGAACTGGGTGGGATGGTGTTGAATCGAGTCCGAAACCCTGGTATAACGTCTCTTATAAAGGGATATGTCAGTTTTACCGAGCAGGTAAAGTGTACGTTATTAGAACGCTGGTTGGAATCATTTGGATCATGTTAATTTTAATGTTTGCATCCCGTTAAAAATCTTAATGGGAGTGTTTAAGGACTTCGCAAGGTTGTTATAAATGTACGACAAGAGCTGACTCTTATCAGAAGTTTCACCGACAACAATTCCGTTATGACAGCAAAAGCAGAAGAAAAACCCGAAATACGTTTGTACAAAATAGTGTTGAAAATTGAACATGTCAAGGTTGACGATGAGTCTAAATTACGCTTGCTTTCGGTTATCGACAACCGTAAGGATTTGACTATATTGTTTCGTGGATGGGAACACGAATATCCGCTGTTGAATCAAACAACACTACATACAAGGCCGTAAATCAATTAAAAAACTACGCTACATTATATTTGGATTCCAAACAAATAGAAAAAATCAAGTGAACAAGGATTGCAGCTTGTTTCATCATTGTCATATAAAAAACCTTCAAAGTGTACTTAAACTCTGTGCACGATAATTTAAACTAGGATTTTTACAAACACCAATATGCGATGTTGTACGAAACTTTTACATACAGGGTTTTTTAATTTTGGTGTGGAAAGCAACAATAGGTATTTGTTCTAAATAGCAGGGCTAATTAGGTTGAATTTTACCAACGACTGGGCGAGTACAAAGATATATATATTTGATCTTGCTCACCTCCCAGCGTTAGCAAGTAGTTCGAAGGACCATGTTCTAAATAGCAGGGCTAATTAGGTTGAATTTTACCAACCACTGGGCGAGTTCAAATATAGATATCTTTAATCTTGCTCACTTCCCAATGGTAATAAAAGTCTTGTTGTGAGTTATTTTCTAACTGATTTATTATAACTAATTATCGATTTATATATGATTTTACAATTTAAAATATTTACAAATAAAAACAGTGGTTCTAAAAAGTTTAAACATTAACATGTATGATGGCTAGTAATAATTAAAAAACAATAATGATTTTGTTTGAGAACCGCTGGTTGCCTCAGGTAGTGCAAATGCAGCGTAAGGGTTTTTCGTTTATTAACCTGCTACCAGATGCATACCTTGCACATTCCTGCAGTTCGTCAATTTAAATCGATAAACTTTAAACAAAATTTTATGAAATTATTTTCTTGTTTAATCAAGGATTAAACAGTTTGGCGACTCGGCAGTTTTATTTTAATAATTTGTTAAATTTATTTGTAGATACAGGGGATGAAAAATTATGTTAAATTTCAGATTTAACATTTTGGCGCCTTCTATGTGGTTGTATTGGCGGGAGAAGATCTAGGTAGCTGCCGTCTAGAAGCTCCCATTCCTCGTTCTCGTTCGTTGGAGCAGTGTTGACGCTGGCGTGACGTTGACGTTGCCGTCTCCTGGCTCTCGTGGGTATTGGTCGTATCGGCGGGAGAAGATCTAGGTAGCTGCCGTCTAGCAGTTCTCATTCCTCATTCTCGTTCGTTGGTCGTATTGGCGGGAGAAGATCTAGATAGCTGCCGTCTTGCAGCTCCCATTCCTCGTTCTCGTTCGTTGGAGCGGTGTTGACTGGAGATGGATCCGGTTTTGTCTGGATCGCCTTTGGATTGTTTTTAAGGCACCTTATTTTGTGGTAGGGTAACCTCTTTGCCAGGACTTTGTGGTTGCTGTCGTACGGACAGCTCACCAGCTGTTCGGGGTCGTAAATCCCGAGTGCTTGCATTTCGGTGTGGGTCTGGGATGGTCTCCTGGCTCTCGTTGGTATTGGTCGGATCGGCGGGAGAAGATCTAGGTAGCTGCCGTCTAGCAGCTCCCATTCCTCGTTTTCGTTTGGTGGAACAGTGTTGACGCTGGCGTGACGTTGACGTTGCCGTCTCCTGGCTCTCGTGGGTATTGGTCGTATCGGCGGGAGAAGATCTAGGTAGCTGCCGTCTAGCAGTTCCCATTCCTCATTCTCGTTCGTTGGTCGTATTGGCGGGAGAAGATCTAGATAGCTGCCGTCTTGCAGCTCCCATTCCTCGTTCTCGTTCGTTGGAGCATTGTTGACTGGATATGGAGCCAGTTTTGACTGGATCGCCTTTGGATTGTTTTTAAGGCACCTTATTTTGTGGTAAGGTAACCTCTTCGCCAGGACTTTGTGGTTGCTGTCGTACGGACAGCTCATCAGCTGTTCGGGGTCGTAAATCCCGAGTGATTGCATTTCGGTGTGGGTCTGGGATTGTCTCGCAGCTTTGGGACAGCCTGGATGTGGCTACTGGTCTGGAGCTTCATTGCTGTGGATGTTTCAGCGTCTTGGATGTCCCGGAGTTTGACCGTCGTGGGTGCTCCGTTTCCGTGGGATTGTCTCGTCGTTTGGGTGTAGGTTCCTTGTTTGCGGTTGTATCCGGCTTCTGGTGGTGGGTTTGGTGGTTGCTTCTGTTGCTTGCGGTGATTTTGTTGTTAGTTATTGTAATTATCATCATTGTCATCAGACATTTCCTCTAAGCTTACTGTAGGTGGAGTTGACCATCGAGGTCTTTTTAATGATGTTGATGATTAGGCCTCCAAGCGTAAAGTTTCTTAGACATCAGGTTCATTATTCACTAAATTAAAACGGTAAATTCGTACCACCTTTTCCAAAAACTTAAGCTCTTCCTTATTATTAATTTTAACCCTCTTATAGCGAATCGGTAGATTTCCAAACTTTTTTTTCAATGTTGTTGGTTTAGATGTATAGAATAAGTCAATAAGTATTTATCTATCACCTCTTGTGCTTATCGATTTCAAGCCATGCCTAAAAATAAGTGTATTCACTTTATGTATGAAATTCAAAATGAGAGTAAATACAATTCAAAAAGAGCCGGGGAAGAAAATATATAAATAAGTACAATCTCTCAAACCAAAATTTATTAAACTTTTTTCTTTGTACGACCAGTTTCGCAAGTTTTTACTCTACTTGCATCTTCAGGTACATTTTAATCTACAAAAAATCTTTTTTTATATAAATATTAAATTCTATGTATAAAAATTAAATTTTAAATAATTGAAGTGACCAACACAAAAAGATCTTGCGGCAGGGGGGTCAGTGCTCGCAGGTGGTTTTGGAGCGATTGACAGGCGAAATCTGGTGCTGCTCTTAAGGTTTTGCTTTGCTATCTCCAGGTACTTCTCTCCTGTAATTGGTTATTTGTACTGTTAAACAATAAAGTATTATTATTATTATTATTAAAGTATTATTATTATTATAGATTGTTTTCTCTCTCCTGCTCATCACCTGGAGTTGAGTGAGACCAGTTGCGGCCATCATTTCCTTGTAGGAAATCACTTTTAAGCTCCGGGCCTCAGTCTCAGCAAGCTGTGTGAGAATTACCGATTTTGTTTTGTTCTGAGTTTCCTGGGCCACGAAGGTGTATTGTTCGGGATGGGACCGCCTTTTGTGCTGCCTAACCTGTGGATAAGTGGGAAACGCCTTGCCACAGAACTGGCACTTTCCACGATCGCCGCATATCCTCGTGAGACGTGGGAATGCAGCTGGCTCCGGGTCTTGAAGCTCGTTCCGCATGTCAAGCATGTCAGTGCTTGGAGGGAACCTGGGGTGCCAGAATTTGATTTCTTGAACCCCGATGGGGCAAGAGATTTCCTGGTTCCCTGATTTGTGAACTTGCACAAGCTGTTCCGGGCAGGGGAGGCTGAGGATGTTGAGGCCCTCCGGTGGGTTGCTGGCGGGCTCGTCAGATCAATTGTGGACGACTCGCTGTTGTCTTCGGGGCAAGGCCTCGAGATCTCTTCTGATGGATCTGCCGAGGCCCCCCTCGAGATCTCTTCTCGTGGATCTACCGAGGTGGATGACATGATGTTAGTCTTCCTAGTTGAGTGGTCCTGGGGGTGCAGTCCTGGACGCCTTCCGGTGGTCCCAGACCGCGACGGATCGAGCGGGGGGCGCCGGGGGGCTGGGGGGTCGATTTATCACTTCCAGGGGACGTACGCGAGTTTCCGCGCACTTTGCCGGTTTACCGATTTGTTCAATAGAAATATTATTTATAGAGTAAGTAAATATTATTGGATCATAACTTAATGTGTAAGTACAAACTTTTTAACTTTTTTATGTTTAAGATTAGTTTATTCTCATCTCACCATTCTTTAAGAACATTCAGTTCATTTTGCAAAGTATGACAAACATTTTTAATGTTAATAACTTTATATATTTTTAGATCGTCGGCAAACAACAAATTTTTACAATTGAGAGATAGAGGAAGGTCATTAATGAATAAATTAAAGAACAAGGGTAGAGCCTTGAGGTACACCAGATTTAGCCGAGTAAGAATTGGATTTATATCCGTTGTAACATACAAATTGCTTTCTATCTTCAAAGTAGCTTTTATAAACCATCACCAAAGCCTTGCTAAAACCAAAATTATCGAGCTTTTTTAGCAAAATGACATGGTTTACTTTATCGAATGCCTTTCAGAAGTCTGTGTATACCACATCAACCTGCTTTTTGTTGTCCAGGGAGTTTGCGATAAATTAGATTTACATTGGCCAAATTGGATATAGTTGATCTGTTCGACATAAACCCGTGTTGATTGCTTGAAATATATGACCTGACTTGATTGTAAATAATGGTATACACACACTTCTCAAAAACCTTAGCGAAATTATAAATTATGGAAATGGGTTTGTAATTTTCCATATTACTAGGGTCTCCAGATTTTAGCACTAGGCATACCTTTGCTACTTTCCATGTTTCCTGAAATTGTCCCTTTTGTAATACTGCATTAAAAATTAAAAATAAAGGTTTGGAGAAAACGATGGCGCATTCTTTAACTAAAAAACTAGGAATAAAATCGTAGCCTAATGTTATTTTGTTGGCTAGTTTCTGCATGGCTTTAGTAATTTCAGATTCTGAAACCACAGAAATTGTTACACCGGTATTATACGATAAACTAGGAAGGCCTGACTAACATGATTGTTTTTTGGGAGAATAGAGGCTCTCAAAAAATGATGCAAAGCCGTTGACAATTTCATCGGGGGGTACTTAAGCACGTTTTTCCTTTAAAAAGTTTTCCAGGTATCCTTGAAGACTCTAATTAGGTCATTTTTTGACCAGAAAGTAAATGAATTTGTTAATGCCAAATCCATCATGTATGTAAAAAGTATCCACCACCACTTCTTGCCACGTATCACAATATGGTACGTGTTTACTGATTGATTACTGAGATCAACGCCCCCCATCCTTTTATTATAATTTTTTATAAGTTAAAACTGTTGAACTTCGATACATTGTTTTTCCCGTCCAGACCATCTTTTTACCTTGCTGACAGGTTCAATGGTCTCGTAGTTAGTAATCATGTTTACAGTATTATTGTTAACCCAGCGAACCACTAGCAACTTATTCGTTTTATCAAATTGATAATCATATGTTCCCCTTGTTTCTTTTGATAAACTTTTTGAGGGTTGTAGTATTCTATTTTCCCTTATTGTCGCTGTTGTCCTGAAACCTATTTTAGTCAAAGTAAAAAACAAATTTATCGTGGAAAAATAATATTCCACAAAAATAATATTTTTTGAAGGGTTGTCAATATGTTTTAAAACATTTAACGCCACATTTCTTTATAGTGAGTGCAAGAGTTTTCCACAGTACGTATCGAAATGATAGCAGTACCCATCAGAACCCGCTAATACCCAGTTCTTATAACCAAATCTCGTGGGTTTTCCACGAATAAATTGCTTCGCCGAATGTAGACCGAAATAGCACACCATAGCTTTATCTATAAACAAATCGGAATGAAAAAATCAAACTGTTTAAGTTTTTGTTTACCTTCTCCTTCAATGGTCGAAGTTTGAACATCTTGTCGGACGAATCAATGTTAGCTTTATTGGCGAAATGAATATTTTGCTTTATTTGATCATATTTGTTATCGGTAAACCAGTACATTCTTTTTTGCGGTAATTTATGATATCCCGTAAAAAATAGAATAGCGATAAAGACTTTTATTTCTGACGCAGAGACAGTAAAATCATGACGATTATTTTGAGCAGAATATAACAGTGTCTGTTCAACTATGTAATTCATAGTGGAATCATCTAAAATCTTCTCAAATATTTCTACAGGATTTAGAGTACTCAGATCTTCAATGCTTGCTTCTCAGGGGTAAATTCTAAGACTCTGTTAGTTTGATTTCACCTTTAATATGCTGCAGCAACTTTATCCCCTGTACAAACAAGTTTTGCTTTTGTCTTATTTTTTTTTCATTTTTTTCTTTTTACTAAGGCACTGTCATCGCTGCTATCCCAATGATCATTAGAAGGGTTATTATTTACTACCCCAATCCTTCCAGCAACATCATAAAGAGATATTTTTATCACATTTATTTAATTTAGTTATAACACTATTTAAACGGTCTATATGATGAAACACTCTAGTCCTCCCACCATCCTTAGATAAAAGATATTTTAATTTAAAATGTATTACATGGTGTGATGAGGTATTAACTTGTATTTTGCATACATTTTTTACTATGCTTCTATCCATTTTCAACCATTTCTGAGACCATTCTGGAATTGTTGTATTACCATCAAAATTAACACTACATAACAAAGGTTTGTATTTGCGGGATAATTTACGTAAAGTGTATTATTGATAAATGTTGATAATAATAAAAAATTAACAACTGAAAAACTCATGATGTTATTTAATGAAAGTAACTATGACAACTAACTATATTCACACTTTGTAATTAGTATATATATATATATATATATATATATATATATATATATATATATATCTTAAAGGGGGGGGTATTAAATTTTACCAACTTCAAAAGCAATTATATTTATTGTTTTATTATTAATAACTTGTAACTTGAGGGGTCCTTGTAAACAAACCGCCCAGATGATGTAGGTGGTTGGAAATTTTCAAGGACCCACGATGGTGGAGGCTGCTGCTGCTCATGGTGCTGCTGTTGTTCAAAAAGATTGAACACGCCTTCGTCAGACTCCAACACAAATCTGAAATCGCTAAACAAAAAAAATAATATTAGAAACATTAAAATTAGTATAAATAATAAACTACTTACTTTACACCTATCGCTGTCTGGGGGGTGGCAGGAGGCATTGGAGAATTGGTAAGATCAATAACCTCATTATCATCACACGGAAAGTCAACCATGTATTGCTCCATAGCCTCCTCACCTATGCTGTCACTACAAAAAATAATATTAGAAAAATTAAAATTAGTATAAATAATACACTACTTACTTTACACCTATCGCTGTCTGGGGGGTGGCTGGAGGCATTGGAGAATTGCAAATTAATGATGGGGTGGTAAGATCAATAACCTCATCATCATCACACGGAAAGTCAACCATGTATTGCTCCATAGCCTCCTCACCTATGCTCTCACTATAAAGAAAACATAGTATTAATTAATTTACACAACATAATAAATAATAAATAAAATTACCTTATTTCTTTCGATGTAACTACAAAACAATAACAAAACAGATTACCACAGGCCTCACATTCCCTTCTATAAGACCAATTAATTGCTCTGTAGAAAAAATATAAAATTAAAAAATGAGTATTAAACATTAAATATAACTTACTGCTTTAAGGGGGTGAGGGCAGGCGGCGGGGTTATATTTCTAAAAACATAATGTTGTTGGTTTAGATGTATAAAATAAGTCAATAAGTGTTTATCTATCACCTCTTATTAACACTCACATAACAAAGGTTTGTATTTGCGGGATAATTTACGTAAAGTGTATTATTGATAAATGTTGATAATAATAAAAAATTAACAACTGAAAAACTCATGATGTTATTTAATGAAAGTAACTATGACAACTAACTATATTCACACTTTGTAATTAATATATCTCAAAGGGGGGGGGTATTAAATTTTACCAACTTCAAAAGCAATTATATTTATTGTTTTATTATAAATAACTTGTAACTTGAGGGGTCCTTGTAAACAAACCGCCCAGATGATGTAGGTGGTTGGAAATTTTCAAGGACCCACGATGGTGGAGACTGCTGCTGCTCATGGTGCTGCTGTTGTTCAAAAAGATTGAACACGCCTTCGTCAGGCTCCAACACAAATCTGATATCGCTAAACAAAAAAAATAATATTAGAAACATTAAAATTAGTATAAATAATAAACTACTTACTTTACACCTATCGCTGTCTGGGGGGTGGCAGGAGGCATTGGAGAATTGGTAAGATCAATAACCTCATTATCATCACACGGAAAGTCAACCATGTATTGCTCCATAGCCTCCTCACCTATGCTGTCACTACAAAAAATAATATTAGAAAAATTAAAATTAGTATAAATAATACACTACTTACTTTACACCTATCGCTGTCTGGGGGGTGGCTGGAGGCATTGGAGAATTGCAAATTAATGAGGGGGTGGTAAGATCAATAACCTCATCATCATCACACGGAAAGTCAACCATGTATTGCTCCATAGCCTCCTCACCTATGCTCTCACTATAAAGAAAACATAGTATTAATTAATTTACACAACATAATAAATAATAAATAAAATTACCTTATTTCTTTCGATGTAACTACAAAACAATAACAAAACAGATTACCACAGTCCTCACATTCCCTTCTATAAGCCCAATTAATTGCTCTGTAGAAAAAATATAAAATTAAAAAATGAGTATTAAACATTAAATATAACTTACTGCTTTAAGGGGGTGAGGGCAGGCGGCGGGGTTATATTTCTAAAAACATAATGTTGTTGGTTTAGATGTATAGAATAAGTCAATAAGTGTTTATCTATCACCTCTTATTAACACTCACATAACAAAGGTTTGTATTTGCGGGATAATTTACG